CCGCTCAGAGATGTGTATAAGAGACAGGTTCAATGTATTTTGTATTTCAAATACAATTTCAATTTTATATTTGAAATACTAAAAAAATGATTGATAAAAATTCTTGACAATTAATAGTAACTTAAATTTTTCTCATATGACACTATTTATTTTCGTCAAGTTTCAAGCAATATTAAATCATCAGAGTCAAATTTCATAATCTCACATTAGTAAATAGATTTCTCGTGTGATTGATACAGGACTGTTAAAGAATGTAAGAGAGTAGAACAATTTTTCTTTCTCTCTCTAAAAGTGGAAAGGGGCCTGTTGAAGCGGGGAGTTTAATATTATATATTATTGTAATTGGAAGATTAAATTAAAAAGTATTTTGTATTTTAAAGAAGTATTATGTATTTCAAATAAAAACTTAAAAATATTTTGTATTTTGTATTTCAAATCAAAAGATTGAAAGTATTTTGTATTTCAAATCAAAACATTGAAAGTATTTTATATTTTGTAATTCAAATACTAAGATTCCTAGTATTTTGTATTTTGTATTTTAAATACTTTAATGTGTGTATTTTGCCCAGCCCTGTCTATAAGTCTCCGGACTGATTTTTTTGCAGTCTTCCCATTGACGCCATTTATCGAATGACTGTTGAACTACGTAGTGTGAACCCTTTCGAACAGCCATGTTGAGTGGCATCATTTTAGCCGCAGTTGTTGAAGAGTGTGGACGTCTGACATAACCTGGTGTTGTGTATGTGTGTCAGACTCGGGAGATGGACGAGGAGGAACAGCGGGTAGCAATTAAATTTTGTTACAAAGCTGATTTTTATATTATGTAAATTTTCAGCGACAAAGACATTTGAACTGATTCAGAAGGCGTACAAAATTTAATTGTTATTTTCTAAATTTATTGGAGTAAATCTCACTCCAAAAGTTAAAAATACTGCCACTTGGCCACTTGAATGGCAATATTTTTATTCTTTTGGAGTGAGATTTACTTCAAAAGAGTGAAAATTCACTCCAAAAAATTTAAAAAGTACCCGCTGTTCCTCCTCATCCATCTCCCGAGTCTGACACACATACACAACACCAGGTTATATGAGACATCCGCATTCTTCAACAACTGCGGCTAACATGATGCCACTCAACACGGCTGTTCGAAAGAGTTCACACTACGTAGTTCAACAGTTGTTCGATAAATGGCGTCAATGGGAAGGCTGCAAAAAAATCAGTCCGGAGACTTATGAACCGCACTGTGTGTGTGTGTGTGTGTGTGTGTGTACACACACACACACACACAGTGCGGTCCATAAGTTCCCGGACTGATATATAACACAAATGCGCGCACGCATAGTATTAACACCAATGTAAATTACGTTCAAACGAAACAAGTTTATTAAAAATACCAGAGTTGTATACAATCTATTCAAATTCATTGATAGCAAATAGAATAAAGAAGTATAACAAGCAGTTATTCAATAGTATTGTTGGAAAAAGGACAAAATAGATACATAAAGCAGTTAGAGTAATTATTACTTATACAAATGTTAAAACAGCATGCATGGTGCAAACTACATCTTACATCGCTGTACCTGTGATTGTGGTTCAGTAGAAACAATACTACCAGCACGCATAATAGGTGTTTTATGCCTAGTCTTTGTGCGTACTATATAATTTTCTTCATACTGTATTACATCGTTTCTCGGATCCCATGGTCTTACGTCAGCATGCCGATAAATCCAATTTCCAGTTATAATATCCTAATAAAATCAGAAAAAGTTGAAAATTATTTTGTAAATATTAATATACGATAAATATTTAGCAATAGATAAATATCAAATATAAGAATAAAATGTAATATAAGATGTATATCATACTTGAACAAAATATTTTGGAACCCATTCTTGTCCTAGACTCTTTCTTTCTTTAGCGCGTTCTCTTTGTGCTTCTTCAAGTCGAGTTTTCGCTTCAGTAGCAGCAACCTGATCATCTCTATTAATGGCTTGTGTAACAGCATACCACAATTTTTCACTTTCCCACGGTCCCTGATATTCCAAAGGAACAGTAAATTTCTTCAATCTTTTTTTGCGTACTTCCGGAGTTGGATTGAAGAAAATATTTTCTTGCTGCAAAATAAAACATTGTATTAATAGTTATCTAAAATTATCGATTAAGATTTAAGTTTATTTTACCCCTGTCCGCTTGTCCGTTATTAAAAGTAATCCATCCCAATATCCCGAAATGGTAGCTAAAGTTTCCTTTCCTAGACGTATTCGTCCCACAACTTGATTCATTAATTCCGCACCGCCAAGAAACGGCTAAAAATATTATATATTTTTAATTAAATTAACATTATTTTTAATCAAATTAAACATTAGCATGAATTAACATGAAAAATATAAATTAAGATTTCGTTATAGCTTTTAAACTAAATCGCGATTTTATTAATAATTCTGGTAATTATGTAAAAGAAACAAAATATACTGTTACCTTAAGTTTAAATTCTAATTCAGTATGATAACCGGTTTTCTCACATATTATGTTCACTTTACCACCGAGTTCCATAGATAATGTCCCCATAAGTATACCTTTACAATGTGCATAAGGAATTGTCATTGTGTAATCTTCACCTCTCGGCAGCATCGTTAATACAGCAATACCATCCAAAACTGCAGAGGTCGAATTTCCTATAAAAAAGCATGTGTACTATAAATAATGCTATTATTACACAGGATGTCTCAGGATTAAATGTCTTAACTTAACATATAAATTTAGAACTTTAGAAAATAAGAACAAATTTTCCTCCGTAAACTCTTTATTTAAGAAATATTGATATTTAAACATTTTCTATATAAAATTTTATTATTATTATCAGGTTATAATAAATAAATTAATAGTGTGTTTCAACTACTTAATTATGAATTATGATTGAAATGTTGTAATATGATTGCATGCCTTTCTTCATTTCATAAAAGGGCAAGAACTCTATCAATACGTGGTACTAAAGCAAATAAGCCTGTTTTTCTAAGCTATTGAAATGTAGATCTGCAGACACTTGTGTGATAATCTTCTATTCGAAAATCGCACGGAACATTCATGATGGACAGCATTAGACATTTTGTATCGTTTTTATAATATTGACATGTACAATTACGGAAAAAATTCATTAGGAATCGTACTATAACTTTATCATTATTACCCGTAACTTTAAATCTCTTAAACAAAGTGTTTACGAGCATATTTCCAGAAAACAATCTTTTCTTGTTTTGATTTAAATGCATATTTTAAATTAGAAACTTAATTTAATCCTAAAACATCATGTATACGTACCGAATATTTTAAATACGCACGCACGCACGCACGCACGTACGCACGCACGCACGCACGCACGTACGCACGCACGCACACACGCACGCACGCACGCACGCACGCACGCACGCACACACATTCTATATTAAATAGTAAACAAATTACCATAAAACTTAGATTTTGCAATAATTGTAGCGCTGATAGTATATCCATCTTGGCGATTTGTCACATAAAATCCTGAGATAGGTGGATGATGTGATAGCTAGCAAGAATATTTTAGACATATGTGTTAAGATAAAACATGGTACTTCTTCATAGAAAATTAATCACTAATGCATATACATTGATTATAAACTGTTATTAAAGTTAGAATGAAAATTGTTAGGATATTTGAAATGTATAGATAATCTAATATTATTAATTTAATATCTTCTTGTCATTACTTGTTCGGCTAAATAGAATGTTCTTGAACCATTTGGATGTTGCCAATAACAGCGGAATGTTTCGCCCAAAAGCGGATTGTATGGCTTTTTCAAGCCTTGTGGTTTCTTGTAAAATCCTGATAAATACCATTTCACTACGGCTTTCATACGTGTAAATGCATCATCTTCCAATACTGCTCTGTAAAATAAAATAAAATTCAGAAATTATGATTATTTATTGCATGTGATTATTTATGCACCCAAATAAAAATCGTATTGATGTATTACTACATTTTACTAACTGGGACAATAAATCGGCATGATAATACGAATCGGCCAGTTTTTCTAAAAACGAACGTGATTCCAGAATAAAAGTTGGCAATACAACTTTAGAGAGATCCATGCCAGGACGAACTTGTTTCATTAAAAACCATATCAAAGACTTTTGCTCTTCTTGCAGTTCCGTAACGACTTCGCCGGCCTATTAATTAATAATGATACAGTACTATAGAAAATTAAAACAGAATATATAAAACTATGTATGTTCATAAAATCAAAGTAATTCAAAGAGATAAAACATTTGTGAAATGTAAAATACAATGAATTGTAAATATTCCAAATAGTTACAAACATTTATTCTAATTAAAAATTATGCTGCGCAGAGTTACGTGCTTACCGTTCCAAGAACTTCATTTTCATTAGCTACATATGGTGTTTCGGTGATTGGCTCTGATTGATCTTCCTTGGCCGACGCCTCAGATTCACTGTCCGAGGCACTGATTTCAGCATCAGCTACTACTCCATTCTCCGGCTGACTAATATCGTCCAGGTCTATATGCGAGGTGTACACAGGATCTAGCGTTACTACTTGACGGGTATCATCATACTCTAAGACATGTACAAAAGGAATAGTCATGCGACGTGCTGGGGAAATTGGTGGGTGAGATGCAGAAGCGAAACATGAAGAACCAAATGGCTGATTATCGCCTTCATCTGGTTCCTCATTGATGGAAGACGCAACGTTTTCTTGATCTGCGCCAGGTGTGGGAGATCGGTCGAGTAAAAGTTTTTCCCAATACGCAACTGCATGACAAAGGTGTTGAAACATTGGAGTTGGTGAGGGGCAAGCGCTTCTAAGATCGCGAGTTATAGCGGGTGAGATTGATTGCGGGCAAGATAACAAGCGCCTCTGAGGTGTCGTAGGTGTTCTTGGAATGTATCGACTTAAATATACTGTTGACGCAAGAAGCAGGATAGTAGACGAATAAAAAAAGAAAAATAACAGCAAACAATCATTATTAATACAATTTGTAAATTTAAATATTTAAGATTAAATTGGTTTTTACAAAATTTTAAGTTCTTAAAATTTGGACACATAGAAATATAAAAGAATATAAAAGTATTCCTACACTGAATGTTTCAATATGAATCTATCGAATTTTAATTCTTCAAATTCTTCAAATAATTTGTGCAAATTATTTTTCTTGTAGAGCCAATAAATTTATAAATTAAACAAGTCAAAATAAACTTTTCACAAATTAAAAATTACAAACAAATATCAACAATTTTATTTCTTATTTAATGTTCATTTAATTTCAAAGAACCAAACTTTAACTTTATTGTAATTTTCATACTAATTATTGTAATATTTAATTAAAATTAAAACAGCAGCAAAATATATGATCGGCTGTCAAAATCTCAGTAAACAAATTTATCGTCAATTTATCATAGATTTAATTATTCAAATAGATAATAAAGTTTGTCGGAGACGATATCTTCATACAAAATAATTTTAAAAAAGTTGCATTAAAAAATAGAAGGAAAAGTTACATTAAACTCGTTTAACATTGCATAAATGAAAAAGATGTTATTAATTATTTTTGTATGGTAATTTAAATAAAGTTTATACAGATAAAAAATTTTAAGTTAAATTTATATTATATGTAACGTTATATATAGAAAATCTCATATTAAAACATCCTTTTGCGCAAATTTTATTGGTTATATAAAATTTATATACAAAAAAAGAAAGTAATTTGAAATTAATTACTTTCATTAATAGGAGTGCAAATTGACAAATCACCATGCATCATTCACAGATTACACTTCTTGTACAACATACTTCTTTAATTATTAAATGCCTTTATAAATCCAGTTCTCTATTTATACTGTTCTATCAAAATATCGATTGCCTATTCTCTTTCTTTTGTTTCATATAATAACGATACGTAAAAAATTTATTAATTTTAATGTTAATAATTTTGTTACATTTATTATACAGTTTTATATTTTAGTCTTAATAATCAGAACAATTTGCATTTTGTACAGCAATCATCCACAATAAAATATGACAATGCAAAAATTTATATAATATTAATATATGTATGAGATATTCAAATCCAATGTGGAATAATATTTATTTTAATAGTGAAAGCACTGATAATATATAAAGTATATTTTAAAAAATAGATAATAAAGTTTAAGAATAGTTTTACTACAAAATAAGACTTTAAATTACTCTATGGATGAAAAAACACGCGGAAATTTTGAAAGACCCTGTACATGTATATATTATTGGAAATTCCATAAGCTTCATTTAAACGTAAAATATTTCACTTTTATTCCACATTATATTTAACTAGTATTTAAATATCGTAAGTAGGAAGCTCTATGTCAATGATACTGACCATGATCATCAAAGTGCTTTTCATAATCAGCCTCGCTCCATTGAGTTTCATGAGTGGTGGTTGCATCGTGCGGTAAAGGACGCGGTAATGCGCTTGTCGAACGTACTATTAACGAAGAACAACGCAACGACAATTCAAGTGCATCCAACCAACATTTGCCTGCTGCTTGGGACGGTGCTCGAAAAATTAAGTAAGATGTTGGCAAAGGTTGTACAACAGCACCTGGAATATTAATTTGTTTATATTTATTACTATAATGTTAAAATTGTGTGAGTATATATAATAATCCAGTATTTCCGGAAGAAACCTAGAAGCTTCCACAAGACGTTGTCATTTTGGCTATTACTTGTGTAGAAATTTCAGTAATCACAGAATTTAACGCGGATAAGCGGACGCCAATCGCGTCCAGTTATACATATATAATTGGACGTGATTGGCGCCTACTTATTTGCGTTAAATTGTCGAACTATTATTAAATTAAATTGTGTCATCTATTAATATATTGTAAAAAACAAATTATTACATAAAAGTAGTATATGTACAATGTACATAATGACAGATATATACCAATAGCTTCTTTTTCTGGTCCTCGAGGGGCCCATATAGATTGCTCCAAAGGATGAAATAATTTAAAACAAAATCCATCTTTTTTACTCGGACGTTCTATAACTTGACACGTATTGAGTAATACCGTTCCCACCCAATGGTTACTCTGTAATAAACATATAATCGCAGATATACAATAAGGAGGACACAATTAAAGAAAAAGAAGAAATGCAAATGCGAACCTTCGTTTTTGGACTTTTGTACAGCAGCAGTAATCCAGGTTTCAGAACGCACCATAACTTGGTCCAACTTTTCAATGTGCCACGAACTTTTAACCAATCACTCATAACAATAACGGTTGGATCTTTGAAAGAACTTAAAAGTTCGTTGGCTACTCGTTTCTTTTCCATTCGATAATTCTTTCTCTGAGCCTTATACGATTCCTTTCGCGTTAATTTGCAAGAATCCAACGACTAAAAATGTCAAAAACGTTCATTTATTTAATATTCATATTAAAATAGAGCATAATTTATCTTTCAAATAAAAAATGCAAAATAGTAAATCGCAATGTAACTGAGAGGAAAAAGATAGATTTCTAAAAATAAATAAAAGAGAATAACATCTTTGTATTAATTACACAGCTTAAAATATTTTTGAATATAAATCCTGCATCAAATTTGTAATCTATTTGTCAATGAAACTTGCAATAGACATTTAAATCTGCACTTAGATGCAAAAACCTGTTAGAGAGAGAGAGAGAGAGAGAGAGAGAGAGAGAGAGAGAGAGATTGGTTTTAACTTTAAGCAAATAAAAAAAATATATTTAAAAAAATAAACAAAATAAATCTCAAAAATAGTAAATTATTTACCTTGTCTGATGAATTGTCCATTTTTTGACTACCTTCGCCTATTCCAGAGATTCCTATAACATACATAATTTTATATTACTTTTTTATAATTATACTTTATACAGTCATAATTAGAATGAAGCTGAAATAGAATATGTATGCAGAATTTATTATCAAAAAATTTTTAAACTTTTTAGAATACTTAAAAAGTTATATTATAAGTTATATTATTTTAACATACACAACGTATCTAGTATATGTAAAATTTCATATACATACTATATTTTATATACTTTTCTTTGGAATCCTTCCGTAATAATACATTGTTAGTATACATTTACAAATATATTTTGTAACAAATGGACAAGTTCATGTGTGATTCTTATTATAAAACCAAGAATTAACTTAAAAGCTAAGATAAATACATACTTACAGATTATAGATTGTAGAAATAAATCACAATTACAACATTCTTTATAATAAAAAAGTAATGCAAATGTATACATATACATAATATGTTAATCTACATTAGTTTATATATACAGGGTGGACCATTTTAATCCATCCAGTCGAATATCTCGAAAAATAAACACACTAGGAAAAAATGTTTCAGACAAAAGTTGTAGGACATCGAAGAGCACATAAGATGATAA